GCAAAAAGAGCCTGCCAAAAATTCTGTAGTTACGGAATTGCCCTGGAAATTGGACTGTCAGCAAGAAGGCATCGTTTAATAAAACACTCAGGATAAGTAAAGAATGAGCCAGAGGAGAAAAGGATCAGGAGGGCTGTCACCACGATCCATCTTCAAACTCTTGTCTTGCAGAACCTGCCGGGGTTCTGGAGAAAAACTTGCTGAAGTGAGCAGGAGCCCTTTGCTTCCTCTACTCATCCTCAGCCTCAACATGCCGGCTTGTTGCATTTTACCCCAGCAGATCATGGGCTTTGCAAGCATGAGGTTGAGTATGAAAAGACTTAGGGATCTTTTCAAGTGGCTAAATCTTCCACCACAGGAATTTATATTGCAAGTCACTTAAACGCTTTCAAAAAGTGTCACTGCGTGCATTTTAGTCAGACAAAGTATGCATTGGAACTAACAAAATAACAAGTCTGTCTAAATGTGGAATTCTGTTTGAATTTAACACCAAATAAACACGATTATGAAAGGCTGTCTGTATATTTGTTTCAACCTTTACCCCCAAATAAGCAACATCAGTAGTTTATGAGGATTACAAAAAATAAAATGCTTCTGGAAGTACTACTGCATTGTAAGTGACTTGATACCACTGTTTTTATCTGTGTCCCTTTTCTCCTATGTAACACTTAATAGAAAATGTGATTGCTTGATTTTCCTTTAACTTTATTGCCTTCAAATTTAGCTTTTTGAATAAAATGAGTTTTACTGATATGGCCATTGCCCAGCGTACGTAAAAAAATCTAGTTTATAATAGTTTTAATGAAAATTTGTGACACTTGTAAGTTAACTATGTGAGAGACCATTTCTTTTCATTTAATGGACAAGGATAATTTTCAGTTAATCAAAATGATATGATGCTTCTAAATATGTATATACTAATTTGTCCCTGAACAAACTGTGACATAATGCAAAAGACTGAAAAATCCCACGATGCCGCATAGGCCTTTGCAGGTAATGCCACTGGATCCCACGGCTCCAGAAATTCTCTCTGGCAGCACTCCCACTTGGAGTCTGCTGTGGAAGAAGCCACAGCAAGGAAACTGCAGATGTGCACTACTTAATGTTAGACTGATCAACTTAATGGCACATTAAGAATAAAATATCACCAAAGTTCTTGCCTTTCCCCATATTAACACTCCCCCTAAAGCTGTGTTTCCCAAGATATTTTTCCTTCTGCAGAACTTCTCATGAAGGAAACCTCAGGAGATTTATGAATTTATGCATTAAAGTATGTACCTATTAACCTATTTTCACTAGGCACTCCAGACATTTTTCTTTTGAGCTTTCAACAGATCACAATTGAGCTTAACTGATCCTCAGAACACAATTTAAGACAAGTTGCTGTTGGAAAAGGGCATAGGAACAGCTGATGAGCGTTTTGTAGTAATGAAGATATGTACTTCCGAAGAAACATCTAACAAAAAACCACTTATCGTCCATCACCACTATGGAAATTTTAGTCTTGTCATCATCACTATTAACTTCAATGTTCATCTAATTTTTCTCTATAAATCCTTTAACAAAAAGAGATAGGGAAAAAAGTATAAGAAAAAAAAAGTCATCACATGGTTTGCCTTGTTTCCAAATGCCCCATCACTCTGCTGTCTTTCTGGTAAGGAAACTGAATTACAGTGTAACAGAGAGCCTGTGCTCAATCTTCAGGCAACCCCATTAGCACTCAGTTGTGACTATTGAGCTCTTAATACACCCCTCTATATGGAGGCAGACTTTGAGCTCGAAGAAGGAACCTCTCATTAAGATGGCTAATGAAGCAGAACTCTTTTTTTCCTTTTTTTTAGTCACCAGAACTCAGATCTCACACATTAGGCACAAATTTAGAATGAAAAGTCATTAGAAATGAGATGTGTATAATGTATGCGGAGTTTTTGCTATTTCTGAAATGGAAATTTCTTTTGTCTGAATCAAGTCACGGAATTTGGTTAGGAATAATTAAGACATTTTGGACTAATCCTTTGTATTTAAAAATATCTAGTTGCTCATGCAGTCTCTCTAAGGGCGCATGCATAGAGCAAAGTTGTCATAGGTTAGATCTGCAACGATCTAAAGCATTTTTGCACAAATTGAAGTTCTAAAGCTTTGTCAGATTTCACAAACGCAGCTTGCATGCACAGTCTATTCATACTGGTCATTTGTTTGGAAAGACAATATTCAGAATATGAAAAGATCATTCACCATTCATAAAACACATTATTCCTGAGGACAGCGTGTGCCTTATACTTCAGTAAAATAACGTGCAGTCAATGCAAACAGCACACTAAACGAAGTCTAGCATAAAGTTTTCTCAGCTTAAGCAAATGGCTAGATAGTGGCAAAACCTTTAGACATTGTTGATGTCCTCCAAAAATAAAGGAACACACACAGTGTTTCTCCAAAACTTCTTGTGCTTTTCCAGTGCATAAAATGCACAATGTCAGATTTACATACTTGCCTTTGATGTAACTCCTATACACCGGTGTTGCAAATCATTATATATCTCTCTCTCTCAATCTCAAATACAAAAAGGTTTTCTTTCCTATGTGTTTTTTAAGTCCAATTGGAATTTGCCTAAGTATGTATTGACACGTGCTAATATCCACAGCAGAAACACGAAAGTATGAAACAATCAATATTTCTGATTCTTGCCTAATTTTATCCTGTATCTTTATACTTTGGGCCAGCCAAGGCATTTTGTTTTTAGAGAAAACATTAAAAAGACAGCTCATCTGTGACCTTCTGAAGAACTGGAAGTACGATCACTATGTGGCACAGAAACAAAAGCTGTGACACACAGTTAATGCTGTCAAATGGTGTTTGATATTCCACAGAATGAAACAGGGAGACAATAAATTAAACAGTGTGATTCTATAAGCACTGAGGAGAGTGCATTATTTCTGATAAGGTGAGGAACTTAACGCACAACCCAGAATATGAAAGAGCAGAACAGCCTTTCCAAAATATGGGAAGCTGAGTCCCACCAGCCCTTTATGACAGAACTAATGGGTAATATATCTGATTAAACCATACCTAGCAATTTCTTCCTTTGTGCAATACTGTAGATACTCCTATAATTGCCTTGTCTCCCACAGAGAGCTGGAATTAACCAAGAAATCTCATGAATATGGTGAAACGACCAAAGAACTTAAGGTCTGATGCTAGGCCCTCTGGATACAATAGAACATACTCATCCACTTTCACTGGCTCTTGACTCTTAAAATTAATTTTATATGGCATCACAAAATAAAATGATTGTGCTGATACATGCAAGTGAATACTGGAATCACACTTTTGGTTCAATAGGGTATTGCAAGTAGTAAAAAAAATCAGGTTTCTTCATTATCTGTCAGCAGTGATTTTGCTGCAGCTTTATCCCTAAAAATAATGTTAAAATTTGCAGCCTTTATAGTTACTGTGCTTTGCTGACTCTTCGTTTTTTAAATTTTTCTTATCCAATATAGAGAAGCTTTATTTAAAATCGTACAAGAGAAACAGAATGATTGTAACTCTTTCTCCACTCCCTTCTCTGCAAGTGAACCCTGCACACTTGTTTAAATTGCTTAAATTAAGTGCTTACCTTTTCCCACATTATGAAATCTTAGTAATAGACAATTTCATCACCAAAATGTGACTATAGCCATAAGCAACACTGCTGTATGCACATAAAAACTGAAATTTGATTCTTTACGTAAACATCTACCTCTTATAGTGATTTTATCCAAAAAGCCCCCCAAAAGTGTAAGGCGGCATACAAATAATGATAAAAAAAAATCTAAAAGTAACCACCGTGTGTGTGTGCATTTATATACAATCTGTATACATATCTGCCTGTATCTAAATCCCATGCTTTGACTTATTTAGGCCAATAAAAGAAGTGCACATTACTGGAGCATTTACTATTACAATAAGAAGAGCATTGTTGTTATAAAGTGCTCTGCTTCTCCTTCCCTGAACAAGCAAGTCACAACGTTATACTGTATGTCTGATATATATCTGCATAAGCTTGCATACTATAAAGAGTTAATTGTATATTCAGGACAAAGTCACTGTATGAGAATATTTCAAGTTAGCATTCTGTGAAGTCATGGTATCATTGCCCGGACAGGTCAAAGGGAACAGTAACACAGTTAGACATCTGCATGCTACATCAGAGCATGAAAACGACAGTTCTTTCATCCTGGAAGTGTGTGGAGGTGGCCTTTCTGCACACGGAAGTGGAAAGGCAACTCAATAGCCATGTCTTTTTCAAATATAGTTGCAATGTGGGCAATGCGATGCGTTCTCTTAGTGCTGCTGTTTTCATTTTGAATTTAGAATTTTTGGTTTTCAACTAGAAGGATAAATTAATGACACTGATGTGCAAATCTTAAACTGCATAGTATATATTAAGCAGCCATAAACCCCTTTTTTTAGGGTAGGACCACATCCACAATCTCAACAAGAGACTAGGACAAACCTGACAAAACAGTAAGCCTGAAAGATCATTTATATCAAGTTATGGCCACGAAGGCAACAATTGCTCTTTTCTTCAGAGGCATTACAGATGGAGCTGAGCAATCAGAAGCTGTAGAAGTTGTGGATATCATGTAAGTTGGTTTTAGTCATGCCCTTACTGTATAAGTTCACAGGTAATTTTTTGTTTTCATTATGCTGTTAGTATCTTCATGAACAGCATGAAAATTCATTGCCTTTTTTTAAACCAGAGTGTCCAAATTTTTAATCTGTCTGCACATTCCTGAGCGCCAGTTCGCCTTGGTGCTCACCACAGACCAGTTACAAGTAAGGCTTTCATTTTCTTCATTGGAAGCATCTATTTTCCAGTTCCCACCAAAGCCTGCAACTGTACTGCCCAGCAAGAACATATATACACCACAAATCTCACACACTGATGCCAGACTCTGCCTTCATTTTGTAACTGCACTCTTCAATTTCCAAACAGTGTTTTTGTTGCAGCATGGTAGTGACTAAGGCCATTCATGGTGATATTGTTTCCCATTCTTTTTCCTTTCTCTCTGCAAATGCTCCAGTTCAGCCTCATACATCATTTCCTGGACTAAGTATTTCTCTCTCCTCATTCTGTCGCACAAGTCTTTGGGCATGTCTGGAATCAGGTAGGCAATGAAAGACTTTATTCCAAAAACAAGGTGCTGAAAAGAAGAACAAAAATAATTGCTTCAAAGATACATAAGTATTCTTTTCTAGGACCATATTTTAGGGCCTCAGAGTCTGTGGCAAAAATGAACTGAGATTCAATTCATGACTGAAAAGCAACTCCTGTGGTTTTTTAATATACACACACACATATATGGGAGTAAATGAGTGGCCTATCAGAAATGTGAAAATGCTAAAGTCTTCTGAAAAGTAAAACAAAGGGTATAGCTAGTAACCTAAATGAAGATGTGACTGTAAGATATGCTAGTTTGAATAACAATAGCAAACACTACCTACAATCAGTCTTTGTTAAGAGCTTGTAATCGAAGTAACCAGACTCCTGGACAGTACGTAATACATTCTTCAAAGTTAGTACACACATTTCTACTTTTATATTAGGCTAGAATCATGTATTGTTTTCCTGACACAGATTTTAACTTGTAATAACTGTGCTTAATGTACACATAAGTTGCATTTCTTCTTTTTCAACAAAACATGAAAGATTTGGTTGGGAACTGGCATAGAATCATAGAATCATTTAGGTTGGAAAAGAACTTTAAGATCATCAAGTCCAACATAAACCTAACATTGTCAAGTCCACCACTAAACCACACCTCTAAGTGCCACATCTACAGATCTCTTAAATACCTCCAGGGATGGGGACTCAACCACTTCCCTTGGCAGCCTGTTCCAATGCTTGACAACACTTTCGGTGAAGAAATTTTTCCTAGTATCCAATCTAAACCTCCCCTGGTGCAGCTTAAGCCCATTTCCTCTTGTCCTATCACTAACTACTTGGGAGAAGAGACCAACACCCACCTCACTACCACCTCCTTTCAGGTAGTTGTAGAGAGCGATAAGGTCTCCCCCCAGCCTCCTCTCCTCCAGACTAAACAATCCCAGTTCCCTCAGCCGCTCCTCATAAGGCCTGTGCTCCAGACCCTTCCCCAGCTTCGTTGCCCTTTTCTACACACGCTCCAGCACCTCAATGTCCTTCTTGTAGTGAGGGGCCCAAAACTGGACACAGTATTCCAGGCGCGGCCTCACCAGCGCTGAGTACAGGGGGACAATTACTTCCCTGCTCCTGCTGGCCATGCTATTCCTGATACAAGCCAGGATGCTGTATAATATAACATGATGTATAAGATGACTGTTAAGAAAATATGATTTTGGAGGGACTCTAAAATCTGTGCATGCTCTGTCAATTCAGTTTGAAGCAGCTGATTGACAACAGTTTGGGCAGGGTGATTTTTTTTTCCTCTGTTGACTGTAATGAACAAGCCGTTGATGATACTGACAATTTATTTATGGGACTACTGTAAAAAATCTTGTACTTTAAAGAGGTAGAAAGGAATTGTTCCTTTCCATGACTAACCTCAAATACTATGATGAAGGCCAGCCGTGCTGCCAGGACATGCCAGAACTGCAAAGTGAATTCATAAGGAGTCGAACTCCATGGTGGGGCTCTGTAATCTCTATACCTGTAAAGCAAAGAAAAACCCAGTTAGTTAGCCTGTGCTCAGAAACCTGAATATGGTGAAGAGCTCTCTAGTTTATCCCAGATCTGGCTAAAAGGAGAGAAACTGTAGTGAAAGCATACTTCGAGAGGAATTAAACAGAAAAGGAGAAGAATAGTCCACAATACAGGCAATTAAATAGGGTTGCTTACAAAATGGCACTTTCTGCTTCCAAAAATCCAGAGCAAACACTTTCTTTTGTTGGTACAAAGCTGACACCTTGGAGTATTAAGTTCAAGTGTGTTGACTCTAAATTGGTTCTTGTCTTTGCTTATAAGCATTTGAGATTCTCCAGACAAAGTTCGCATAAATGTAACATGATTCTGTAACTACTTAGTCAATTCAAGCTAACCTTCACTGTAAAACTAAATCTGAAACCAGAAGGTGTGCACTCATGCAATGTTGTATTTAATTTTTATGCTGAATTTCTTGTATCCATCCTGCATAACTGTTTGGGATCTCAACCAGGGTTAGAGTCACAACAAAAATTTTAATTGTGTATTTTAATTAATAGACCTCAGAATGTTTAACAAAACTGAGATGAGAATTTTCACCCTTCTTGGCAGCTGGGGAACTTCAAAATGAATAATTCATAGAGGCATGAAAGATATAGCTTGCAGGAGTCCTGGAAAAACTCAGAACATGGGTGTCCAGTGTGTTAGTAATGCATCCTACCACACAGTGTTTGCACCTGAGACTTTCATGTTGAACAAACTTGAACTCCAATGCTTTTACAGGCAAAAAAGAAACTATTCTGCCAGTAATTTAAGCACTGACTTTCAATTTAGTGTCTGTATTAATGTCTATGCCTGTATTACAAGAAGGGAGAGCACTGAAACATACCTGCAGTACCCCGAGTATCCCATCCCAAGTTCACTCAAATCAAATACTGATAAACTGCTGTTGACGTATCCTTTTAAGCATCTGAAAGGAAGAGACATACGGTCAGGACTTTCTTCATAGCATAGATCCTGTATGTAAACGTATTCTGCTATCACATATTGTGAGCATACTATTTTATTTGCTTATCAGGACAAAAGCAATTTTAAGCAGAGAAGCAAAGTTTTATTGCAAAGAAACAAATAGGTCTGTTTCAGGGATAACCCTGTTTAAAAATCTATTTTCAGCACTCTTCATGGTTTTGCTTCTTATCTATCAGCAGATACAAAGCAAGAATTGTTGCTACAGTGTTCTTCACTGTCTCCTAAAATTCCTGAACTTAGAAAGATGGCCAGAGAGGCACAGAGGAGAATAACTTAAGATCCTTGCAGAATCTGCCACCAATCAGGCAGCATATACCAAAAATGACAGGTTTTACAAGTTGAATTGAAGAAGAATTTTCACCAACAGCAAAAATGAACAGTGCATATATGCCAAACAGCCATCTTAAAGGCAACTATTTCTTAGTATTAATGACAGAAATCACATCAATACATTGAATTATGACTGTAGGAGTAAAATTTTTATCTGTTCCTGGAAACCCATGGACATGTAAGACACCCCATCTTCTTGGAAAACTGTCCTGTAATTTAACAAAGGGACTTCTGAAAGGCAAAGAACATTTAAAAAGAGATGCATCAGGGATCTTATTATACGTCCTGAACCTTCAGGTTTGCTGTGACACTTCAAATCACTACTGGCAAAAGAAGGAATAGAATTACATAGTTCTCTATTAACGAGTAGTGCGCATTAAGCATTAACGTTTTTTTGCTATTGTCTCTTTTCATCCTATCCTGCCTCATTCTTTTTGCCCTTAAATGTTCTCTTCCTGTGACAGCACAGGAAGAGTAAATCTCTATTTTGAATCATTAGAGATGGAGAAACGAGGGAAGGAAGGACAGGTGGTTCGAGCTGAGGCACAGTCTGTGAATGCAGTGGTACTGGCTTGCTGGACAAGCCCTGATGCTTTCACTCCTATCCTTCCTCCTGTGCAATAACAAAGGTAAGTTGTGCTTGTGAGATATGCTATAGTATTAGCAAAGTGATGCTTCCTTTTTTTGAGGTAACCCTGATTCCCATATTAAAAAGAAAAACCAAAAAAAAACCCTCCAAAACCATCCCCCAAGAACACCTGTAGGGCACTGGTCTCCAAATGAAAGAGAGGATGTCCATGAGTGCTGTGATCTGTTTAGATCATGTAAAAGGCCATGACAGACACTGGGAAATGCAGACAGAGCATGGTGGACCCACAGTTGAGAGGCATCGGTGAGTGTCTGGACAGAAGTGCAAGAAACCGGCCTGGTGGTGCAAAGATAGGCAAGATACCTTGCTTGAAGCTAAGATACACTATATATGGAGTTAGGCTAGATAGTGTCAAGGCCAGTCTTGCTGGAGCTTGGCTGCAAACGCTTCTGAAGAAACAGGCAGGGAAGTCTGAGGGTGAACGAGGCTTAGGATAAAAGAGGGTTCTGGAGCATATATATGTGTGTGGGAGTGTAGTGGGAGAAGACAGTCCAGAACTATTGCAGAAAAGAAGAAAAGCTTATCTAGAGAAAGCCTGAAAACTGCTACAATGTATATTGAACTTTGTTGTTTGCATTCAGAAGGGAAGACGTAATTTTCAACTTATATGACTGTGGAGTTAGTTTGCAAACTCTCTGGAATGGCTGAGTTACTTGCACTTGACATCTGTGAAGGTTTGCACAGATGTAAAAGGTAGAATGTTACTGATATATCTTAAGTAGACAGCAGCGAAAGTGTGCTTCCACCGAAATATACATGTATATATAAAGAATATCTTAATTACTTTTCTTGTCTGTACCCTTGATCTGTACAGGGACCATATTTGTATGCATAGACAAAACGTGGAATGTAATCGGAAGTAATGGCAATAACAAAGGCATTGGTGATGACAGCCAGAACTCCAATTCCTTCCAGAATCCCATACCAGATACCTAGAAATAAGAGAAATGACAACGAAGTCATTAGTTTTTTACAGCCATATTAAGTCATGTAAAGTCATACTAGTGGTATTAAAGTAATTATTAGTCATACAGTTTTCCTTTCTTATTGAGGAAGAATTATTCAGTCAGAAAAGATAGTCAGGATTAAGCCAGGTCCCCACATTCCTGCCACCACTGAATGAAGTCTTACAGTAGGGCACACCCTGCTGAGAAGAAATAGCTAAGCAGCAAAGGTATAACCATAATCTTTGGTTATAAAGGTCAAACAGAAGATGTTGGAAAGGGATTTATTATTTTTATTTAATTCAGTTTTAAACCAAAAGTGAATTTAGTCCTTATATTAAATTTCTAAATTAAATTGATTTTGGATAGCATTTTAGACCTAGAGTTCCACAAATCAGAAGCGTAAAATACTATTTAGTCTGTTTTCAAAATTCCAACTATTATGATCCCTTATTGGAAATGGAAAGCAAATTTGAGGAGTCCTCTTAGCTAAGCAACTGAGTATCCTTTTATTGCTTAACAGGAGAGTTGTCACTGAGATCTGTAGGTTACACTATCAATTTCACTCTTGATGCATGAAATATTTCAAGAGTTAAGCTGCATTAAAGAAGGAAACACAAAGAGATTGTACCTGACGGTGGTGACAGTCATTAGGTTTCTCACCTATATCTGTTGCTCTTGCAGGCATAGGTCTTCGCCACTGAGTGACAAACTTGTAGGCATCTAACCTTATTTCTATGATATTGTTAAGCAATGCCAGGAGAGGTGCCAGCGGGAAGGCAGCAACGAAGATGGTGGTAAAGCCAAACTGTAAAACTGGACAGGCATTTCTATGGTTAGAAATTGGAAATGCAAAAGATCTTTTAACATGCAGCATAGTTCCAGTGTCTTAAGAAAACTGACACCTCCCTAAATTTGCTCACCCATCTCTAAATATTCGTCCATTAAACCATGGAGATTCATAGGCTGCAGATTCCAATCTTTCTCCCATTGAGGTAGAGAAATCTTATGCTCCATTAACTGACCTCCTCTCTTCATTTTGCGTCGTGACCACCAATTCTGTAATAAACTTTATTAGATAAACAAAGCATTAGTGACTGTACTTGCTCAGTAATTTACAATACTTGCTGGTATTGCTTTGAAGTAAGTGGGCCTATTTTGAATAGCACCTGAATATTTACTTAGGTATTTTCTGGAAATATTTACAGTATCATGTAAGACACAATTCAAAGAACTTCCAAGAGTTCTCCAAATTCTGCATTACGATTTTAATTATGTCTTTAATGTAGCGTGTTACGCATTGTACAAATAAGCTTTTTCAAGAACATGGAATTTGCTTGCATAGACTTTTTCTGTAAAATTTACCTGCATGCCCAAATAAAAAAAGAACAAGGAAAAAAATCATGCATAGTGACAGTATTAAAAAAGTAACTAATGCTTTATTTTTAATCCTGTAAAAGACGAACCAAATAAGCGGAGCTCAGCAAGAACTCTTTGATACTAGAATATACTGAATAGTAAAATATGTCTACTAATTTTGAACAAACCTAAAGATCTAGATGCTCTACAGAGTATTTTCTTCTTGAAGCAGGAAGAAGTGTCTAAAAAGGTGTTGCTGAAGCTGCAAATATTTGACTGTTTTTTATAAAGCTGTGCAGAAGTCTTTTCACAAAGTAGTTATAAATATTAAATAGGTAATAGTTTCACAAATTAAAGTGTTATACAAATGAAAAATGTTATTCAGTACTGACACGGGTGGTAATTAAACATTATTGTTTGTTTCTAGATATTACTAAAGAGACTGAAGATAGGAAATAATTTTCTTATAAGTATTTTTATTAACAGGCTGCTATTTTTTCTCAGGCTAATTTAGTGTTTAGCTCTTGATCTCTCTGGTTACTGAAAGACCAACTGTTGCCTCACTTGCAAACAATGGTTTTGTCAAAACAAAATACTGCTTTCTGTAAAGGAATATAAGCATGTTCTAAAATAAATTCTAGACAGAGTTAAGATGCTGCTGGGCTGAGAAGACAGGAAGCCTGATACTTCAAGTAGGTTTCTTCTTTTCAGAAATCCATGTCTCACAAAAAATACAGCATACTGCCCCTCATTTGCCAAATGATTGCACATTGTGAGCATAACCCTTTCTGACATATTTTCAAGGTTAAGACTTTGATTAAATGAATATTTGATGAGCAATCTTTTACTGAAAACATTCTTCCAGTTTCAACAGAACTGTAAGACTCTTAGCCCATTACTCTCTTCAGCAGCTGAACAGCTCTGTTTGTATTATGGAAAATGAAATCACAATAAACAATTTAGATGGTAAACATACCCCAAGAAGCTTTATCTTGGAGTAGCAGTTAATGCTTCCCTTGGGAATAAAGTTACAGTATGTGAGATGCAAAAAGTGAAAACATTCTCCAAAACCAAAAGTATTTTTCCCTACCACTGAATCACACTAATGCATCATCACTATTTGTAAAGCAAATTTTAACATCTGAACTTACGGATAGCCTAGTTCCATGAAGTTGTTCCACATTTGTTTTAAAACCATAATAACTCCCATTTGCAAACACAGATCTATCAAGCAGCCACTAGGATGACACTGAAATGAAATGGAAAAACATCAGCAGCTAAAATCAGAGAATTCCTTTAATTTTTATTTGTTCAGAGGGTGAATGAAAAATATTCAGGTATGTTTGGTGAAAAACATTAACCTCCAGCTACAGAAATATGAAAAGATATATTAATAACAGAAATATTAACACAGACTTTAGTTGAACAACCTTTAGACATATTATTTCCTGGAGAACTAGGTTGTATTACCTAACCTAAGGGTATGTGTGCTAGATATGTGATAAATGATATAGTCCATTTCACTTAGACCAATACATATGTATTCATTTCAAAAGAATGGAGCGATATTTCATCTGTAATATCCTAAGTCCCAACAGAGACGTAGTAGCTGAATCTCTGGTACCAGTATCTTAGCTATATAAATTGCCATATTAAAATGTTTAGTAACTACAGAAACTTTTTCTAGACTATGGACTACAAAGTTACAGTATTTTACTATGTGGCTACCAAGGTTCAATAGAAGAAACCTGTTTTTCAGAGATAACTTCAGCATGCTAGTGATATCCAGGGAGGTGCAATTCTAACACATTTTCAAGCTAAATTTTGAAAATACTGTTTTTCTTCTTTTAAATCATAGAAGCATAGAATGGTTTGGGTTGGAAGAGACGTTTAAAGGTCATCTAGTCCAACCCCCCTGCAATGAGCAGGGACAGCTTTAGCTAGATCAGGTTGCTCAGAGCCCTGTCCAACCTTCCCTTGAATGTTTCCAGGGGTTGGGTATCTACCGACTCTCTGGGCAACCCGTTCCAGTGTTTCACCACCCTCATGATAAAAAATTTCTTCCTTATATCTAGTCTAAATCTACCTTCTTTTAATTTAAAACCACCACCCCTTGTCCTATCGCAACAGACCCTGCTAAAAAGTTTGTCCCCATCTTTCTTATACGCCCTCCTTAAGTATTGAAAGGCCACAATAAGTTCTCCCTGGAGCCTTCTCTTCTCCAGGCTGAACAACCCCAACTCTTTTCAGCCTTTCTTCATGGGAGAGCAGTTCCATCCCTCTGATCATTTTTGTGGCTCTCCTCTGGACCTGCTCTGACAGGTCCATGTCTTTTGTGTACTAGCAGAAACTTAAGAAGCTAATAAAAAAGCTGATGGTAGTATATTTATGTTCTCTATCCAAAAATTCTGCATACCCAGTAGATTCCCATCATGTAGGACTTAGTAGTGCCTGTGAGGTAAGGGACTATCACCGTTTGCTTTTCCCAAAGAGAGAGGCAGAAAGAACTGCATGTCTCAGGCAGAGTCACTCAGCACAGTGAAGAACACAGAAGGAAAAAACACATCTCCTGTTTCCTATCCTTTGCTATAAATAAAGAGTTTACTCTTCACTGCATGGAATAATAAATCTTTCAAACTGGACATAATTCACGTCCTTCAGCCATTTCCTTTCTACTCATGGAAATTTCACAGGAACGCAAAATAGGATTGCTTACCTCTTCCAGTCTCCATCTGTTAAAAAGCTTGTTGTATTTTCCTGGGCGGCCTGCAAATCTGGAAAATAAGATTTCTGTTTCTCAGTGGACATTTCAAGAACATCCTGTATCAGTAGTTATTTCACAACATCCACCGAGCAAACTCATGAAATATAAACAGATTAAATCACACAGGCTTAAATCTGGTATCTGTAGGATATGGAAGTTTCAGAATGCAAACAAGGACCATCATTTTGCAAGTGATCCTAAGCTTTTATCATGTCCAGAACAAAAACCCTAGCTTCAGAGGGTTTAGATATTCAGACTCTCTAATCTACTTCTAAGAAGATAAGCTATTGCAATACATAGGAATTTACTGCAGCACAGGGATCTGCTTGCCCACGTGAAGTGTGCACTGGATTGCCCCCTCGGACATACAAGCATAAAATCACTTGCAAACCCATCATAACTAAATGCTTTTTACAGATCTGACAGATTCATGTATAACTAATTGAATCAAAATTCTTATTACCTCAGTGAAAATTATAAATGAGGGAGTAAAAAACCCATGTCTGGTCCTACTAGACACAGGAGATAGCAAAATACAAAGAAGTTTAGAAACTTCTTTGTTTCTGTAAATGTATCACTGGATGTAACAAGCAGATGTTACCAACAGTCTTTTATAGAGGGTTTTTTTTTCCCTCCCCAAACAATCTTGAACTGAAATACTTATAGAAGGTACTCTGAAACACTCCATAGGTTCTGCAGGAATCATAAGTCTGTTCGTAACAAAACTGAAGTGAAGACGAAGCAAGGTTAGCCCTGTCTGGTATCTCATGATCTGAGCTAAAGATACACAAAAAAATTTCAGAATTTCTGCCTCCTACTCCTGTACAAGACCTGCCAGACAATATTTACTATTTGTAAAAACGGATCCTGGGAAATGTAACCAAAGGGGAATAAACAAGAAAAAATTAATAAAGCCTATTAGTGCAGGGCTAAACACAGACCCACATTTAGGAAGTGGCTGTATTTTCAAAGGTTCTGAATTCTCATTTAGTAGGAAAGTCAAATACACAGACCCACATAAAAAAGTAGACTTTTTACTGTCTAGTTTCATGAGTAAAGATTTCAAGGGTCCAACCCTCACATACAGTCAAAAATGTTAATTTAGTGTTATTAATTACCCCCAGAAACTGACTCGCATCCAAATCTTACAGTTTGATCTGTCAGCTTATTTTCTTCAAACCTATAAAATTAGCTAGGATTATGACTTCTGTGCAAGTTTTCCTTTAAGAGCAGTTAGCAAAGATAACTTACCTCCCAAGAAAAAAAGCAATGTAAAAGATGGAGCTGTTCAAGTTGACAAACTGGAAGAGGAACATTTTCAAGGCAAAGCTGTTTTCCCATTCAGATTCTGTTCTAGGGTGCTCTGCGGAAAGACACAATATACATTATATAAACAGAAATGAAGTCCAAGTTATGCCTAACTTTGCTCACAGATCAATCAACACTAACAAAACATGCGATGGTTTCAAGTCATGGTGCCCCATCAGGCTGCAATTAATTTTTTTTTTTTCCCTCAAAGCGTGCAGTCTGCAGGTCACAAAACCATTGCCCCAGCTCAGACTATGTTGGTTCTATGTGGAAACAGGAGATACAAGCTCCTCGGTACAGAACAGGTCACAACTCTATTGGAAGGTACCTGTTCCATCTCCATGAAAAAGTTCTGAATTGAGCGTGAATCTTTAGTTTTAAGGCTACAGGTATCTTGATTTAAAACCAAACCAAAACAAAACCCCACAACAACAAAAAAAACCAAACAAAAAGCAAAAGCACTTGCCATGAGCAGAGTAATAGACAGGGGCTGCCAAGGAAAGCAGAGGGAATCTCAACCGAGCATCTCACCTTCTACACACTTCTGCAAGATCACTACTTCATCCTCAAGACTTCCCTATCATAATGCTTGTGAAGTGTTAAACAGTTTATAGTTCAACAAGGAAAGGATGGAGGTCCTTCTTTTTTCTTTTTTAAAAGAAATGTAGAAATGTATAGTAGGGCTACAAACATTCTCAGTGGGTCTGCACTGCCTTGGATGTTCTTCCTTACAGTTTGTAGAACATTACTTATGTCTGATTTAGAACTTGGTGATAATGATTAGAATTTTTTCTTTTTGGTAAAAATTTCAAATTTCTTTGATGGATGTATCAAACTTGGAATGTAGTACGTTCTTAAATGTTTTAAAGCACATGTATGAGTTGGAAGTCTAAACTGCCTGGATTTTTCAGTTAAAATTTGTACTACTTAATTACTTTGGTCTAATGATGACTAAATTAGGATACAAATGTACAGGATACTAGCTTTACATACGGACACTTGTTCCCAGAAGTTAATATGTCCTCCTTTTCTTTGATGTAAAACACCATAGGAAGTGGAGTGAGCTACCTAGCTCAAACACCTGATGCTCCATCATGCTTAATTCAAGAAGCCTTTTTTTTTTGAAATAAAATTCTTTCATATATTTTGGGAAAAATCAGCTTGTATACTTCAATTAAATATTTTTTTTCCTATTCCCTGGTCTGTAACAATATAATATATTTTAAAAGTTAAGTAGGAATACAAATCAGATCTGAAAAAATATTTTAATAATTTGAATAAGTTGACTACACATTTTTAATCTTTCTAACCTGTTTAACTGCCTGTTATCTGGAACACTACAAGGTTTTGAGCATCTTGTTTAATGCATGCTCTTTAACTCTTCAACCAGAAGAGGGAGCTGTTAAATTTAAGCAGCGAGCTTGCTTTTAAACTATGACAAGATCAAGTGTCTATTTTGACAAGGGCTAAAAGAGCATGTAAGAACAATCACTAAAAGGTAGCATTCACATAGTAGGAGATCTTAAATGCTGTCTTTGCTTTCTTGTTTTCTATAAGCTAGAAAGCTTTACCTCTATGACTGAATCACAATTAGAGGCTTCAGTATAAATTTTTAGTGTCACAGAATTAGAGCTACTTTAAAATTTATGACTTAAGAATTTTTATCTTGGACAATGTAATTTTATCTTAACCCATATGATTCTATGATTGCTTCCATACAGAAGTTCAAATTAAAAAATCGTAAAAAATATAACCAAGCATTTGGGAAAAATGGAAAACACATCTGTTTTAGCATTCTAAGAAAGAATGTGTTTTGACTTTTGTTCCATTGTAAGATAACATTTTTTTCAATTTACACTATAAAACATAAAAAAAGTAGAAGTATAAGAACAAATTCCTTTCTTTTCTATTATTTCCTTAGCGAAATAATCATCAATTCTTTCTCTGATACTTCCCACTTGCTTAGGGAAATGCCAGAGTTGTCCTATGCACAGATGAAGTTTTCAAAACCTTATTTTATGGAAATATAAAGGTATACGCCACAGCTAGCAAGAACCATACCACTAGTAAAGGCCTACATACCTAAGTCTGTCAGGAGATAGGCAACCTTTTCATATACCTAAAACAGAAATAAGAGATGGCGTAAGTATAGTGCATCCTGTCTGTTGTGATGTCAAATCTAGAATGAAAACAAGCATCAAAAGCATAGGTGTTCTACTGCCCTACAGCATCCAGGTATCTGGACATAGAAGGGAGGGCAATGTCGTAGTTACATGTGGATGTACAGTTTCCTGTAAAGACTTTACTGAATTACTTCAGTCCCATTCTCTTTATCCATGTAAATGTATCTATGTAAGCATATATATTAATTATATGATAAAGAAAAATCAAGAGCCAATAGGTCAAGAGAAGTGTTCAGACAGCAACGGTTCTCTTAACGAACAGTTAGATGCTTATCCTCTAGGTTCAGGAACAAACCCATGTGATCTAAAAGTAGGCAAAAGCCTTTACGCAATACCATTTGCCTTTGCGTGAATGTGCATACTGGTGAGGATATCAGCCTCCTACTGAAAACTTCCTTATCTGGCTCTATATCAACTATCTCCAGTCTTTATTTTAAATAACACTTAGCCCAAGGTAGTTACCAACTCTGAAAAATATTTCCTTGACTATTAATAGCAAGTTATTTTCAATAGCTTTGGTGTGCTTGTTCACTTGAATGTACTTTCTATGACTTAGAATTATCATATAAAATAACACAAATAAATACATGGCAGTCTGTTTTGAAGAATGCTTTCTTATTGCAGCAAGTGCACAATCTCCTTAACAGAATTAAAAGCCACTGTTTGCTGTGCTGTTATTCCTTTTTACCTGTTTGTGCCTGCACAGGAATAGAAAAATGATAAATTATATTGCAGATGAAGGAATAGAGTTTATATCAATGTACATTGTGTTACCACAGCAAATGATTAAGCCTATGCTGATATGTGACAGGAGAAGCTTAAACCAAAATCATGTATCACAGTGATTCTAGGACTGTGCAACACTGATATCACAGCTGCATTTTAAATAAGAAAGGGAAGAATTCAAATTTATCAATTTAAAAAAAACCAGAAAGAAAATACTCAGCCAAGAAAATAATGTAGTTCCATTTAGAGATGTATTGTAAAAGGTAATGTAAAAAACCAAAAATGCAAACGTAGAAAAAGCAGTAGTCTGTACCACTGTGACTTGGTGACATAAGCAACAATGTGTAGCGTCAAATTGAGTAGGCATTAGAGAAAAACATTGACAAACATAGTATTAGAAGAGGAAAACCCCCTGAAATACTAGCTTCAGGCACTGTTATATGAATAAGCAAGAACAGGTATATATCTGACATACAGTAAGCTCAGTAACCTTGTAAAAATTAGTCTTTTAAATTAATCCCTCCTTTAAAGGAACGGAAGACTTACAACATTGAGTGACATGATGATCATAAAATTGATACAGACTCCAGTGCCGGATGTTGCAAACTGCCAATACTTCTTGATGAAATACCACTTGAAAGAAGCAAACTGTTCCATGGCTACCAGACGATACACCACAACTGCAAACACTGCAGTGAGGACCAGTGAAATCTACAGGTAAATATTTATGAATAGAGATATCAGAACAAAATAAACCATATCTGAAATAATTTCCACTGTATTAGTAAATTAACAAGTGTTTTAAAGATTGCCATTTGATTTGGTGAGCAGACTTTGAGAGAACGGAAATACTAGATCGATGAATTAAAACATTTCTTTACTGTTCTTTTACAATATAACTGTATTACATCTTTTAAAAGAAAGGGATCCATAAACAATCAGCTTTGCCTATATTATGTAAATCCACTAATCTTAATGAATGCACTCATGACTGGCGTTACTATTTACATCAGAATAAGATTAAAGGCTACAAATAATTCCAATATTATTAAACATTACCATGAAGAATATTCCTGAGACAGATACCATCAGTCGACTGAGCTTATCGGGGAAAGGCTGAAAAGGTTCAGGTTTTCCTGTGATGGGATTTACTCTTTCCACTTGGGAATATTTAGCTTCAAACTGGGGGCGCAGCTCTTCCTAGAAAGAGAGGGTAGATTCCATTTGTTGTACTACTTATTTCACTTAAGTATCAAAACATCAGACATATGTGCGCTATACAGTAGGAAATTTATATTGATAGAAGTTCTTTTTTACAATGCTCCAACTCAAATATCGAAATAATTTGCTCTTTTGAAAATCCTTGGAAACAGTGCCAGAGACCAACAATGAACAGAAACCGTAAGAGCCTTCCCCACTATGTCAGGGTATTAAAAGGATCACGGGTCATAATGCTGACTTAAACACTAGTTTCTCTGCAGAAATTGATAAGAAACCTACAAATTAATGCCAGTTATGATGGTGCTTTTTGTAATATGAAAGCAATTATTAAAAGCCACCAGCTTGTATCTACGCATCTATGAAAAGCTATAAAACAAGTAACGATAAAGTCTCTATTGACTTAGACTGCAGTTAAATCACCAATATAGTTAAATTACAGCTACGTTCACTACTGATTTATGAAGTAAAGTAATAAAATAGTTCTATTATTGCTGATGCTGATAGCAGAATGTTAAAGGATAAGTTACGCCTCTCAGAAGGGTATAAAACCTAGTAGTATCTGTCCCTTTGCTTGTCTTGTCCAATTTTTACGCAGGATTAGGAATTTCCAGTACAAGAAACCACAGAACTGAAAGGCATCTGTGCTGACATCAGTAGTAGCTCCTGTCCTCTGTACGGGCAGTATTTCCACTCAATTTTTCAAAGGATACTTTTAATAAATGTAGAATTATATTTGGAATTGCAGAAGACAAAGTATCCTTGTATAGTCTCAAGTATACTTGTTTATTCTGCAACCAGTGTTATAAATACAAATATAATCTGAATGACAAATTCAGATTACTGGCATACAATTATGTATTGATATTTACACTTAAATCATGCTGATAGCAAGATTTACAGGTTTACTTCTGCTTAGTCTTACCTCTTCATCTTCCCAGTCTATGAGGTCCCAGTCATAGGTTAATACAGCTCTCCGTCTTTTCCAAAACTCTAGAAAGACCGTAGCTGTGGAAAATAACCAACTGCATTTTAATTATGGAAAAGAAAGAAAAAAGGCCGTGCAGATCTCAAGAAAATCAGCAATATGTAACAGGATAACTGTCATTAGACACTTTCTGGCTGTTTTCCCCATAGAAACTGAAAATTATAAGTAACTTCAGGATAATTGCTGTTAAAATTGAAATACTATTTTACAGTGTTTATCTAAGAGTAATTTTTTTTGCTTTCTGCTGTAACGGTACAGAGATAGGTACCTGTCAATATGAGACACTGCCATCCCTTTTAGATCATCATTTCACTTTTAATTTTATTCAAAACATACATCATTTAAAATCTTTCCTTGAAGAAACAAGCATATGCATATACAATGGTATCCGTTAATAAAGAGTTAAATTATGATCTCATTTTATTTCATTAGAATCAAGACAACCTCTCTTCTTTCGCATCTATACCAGCTTTATACTGGAGTAGTTTCACTACTAAAATATTTCTTTAAACAGTTATTTGTAATCTATGTGTGAGACGATAATCAGATTTTCCATGTACTTAGTGTTTTTAGTAGGTCCTATAAAAATAATTACAACCGATAAATAACTCCAAGTTTCCCAAACACTGTAGTTTGCCACTGAGGGAAGACACCTTGTTTTGGTGGGTTTCCTGACAAAATGTGGGATTGTCCAATTGTTCCCTGGCAAACAGTGATTTCAATTGGGGACTGAGAAAATTTGCTTCCTTCTGGCAAGCCAACTGCTCAGAAGGAGGATTTCTAACTCAAACTGAATAGGATGGTTTCACATTCCTACCTTCTTCTATATTTCTTATTATGTTTAACATCTTATTGGCTTTATATATATATATTATACATAGCTATCATAATTTTTTAATATATATATGATTTATCCATACACTATATTAAAGCACAATGACTAGGAGTTAGCAGAAGTTCACCATACCACTACCCATAAATAACAGATGGCTGAATGAAAGGAACTTGTCCCTGAATATTATTTTTGGTTAGCACGTTCTTTATTCTTCCAAGCAAGGATCTATTCTTCACCACACATTTCACTTAAAGTTTGGATGCTCTTAACAAGAGCAGCATACAGCTCTCCTATTTAAGCAGCAGCGAGGTTTGCACTTGAGTAATCTGAGGGTGAAACAACCTTTTCTCACTGTCATTGGAAGTGCGATCACAATCAGTGCAGCGCGAGACTCAGAAATGTTACAGAAGACACCACCTTGCAAAAGAAATCCCTTCCTGACATGCGAGGACTCGGGAGCAATGGAAGCCCGTGCTATACACAAAACAAACAATACTTTTCTTATGTGACCAAATAGGTAGGAGAAATACATTCTGCAAAACACGGCGTTGGGTGTTCCTCTGCGTGTCAGGCTGCTCTAAGAAGCGTGCCCAAGATACCCACTAGCCCTGTGCCAAAGGTGGTATGTCTGTAATTGCACAAATCAAAGAATTCACTTAGTTACACTCAAAGGTAACAGAAATTAAGGAAGTGGCCCAGTTATCAGAACTAAAATAATGAATTTTAAATCCCACTGACTTAAAATACCTCGGTCAGAGAAACTGAAACCAAGCAACTGAATTAGAGGCTTTTTTTTTTTCCCTTGCTGAAGAAAAGAATGAGGAAGGGTGGACTATTGAAGTACATGCAACTTTTCTAAACTTAGAAGTATTTTAGCTTGTGTAAATATCCATTGAAGTTTTGGAAATAAAATGAGGCAGTTGTGGTCTAGAAGTAATACTAGACTGTGGACAAATGATGTCCTCAGTTGAATAGACACTAATCTTACAATGCTATTTATTTCATTCTGTCTGCCCCCTAAGATGTGGGATAATTTGCTTATTCTTTAAATCAAGATCTGTGTCTAAGTTAGAATTTTCAGGCTCTGGTATAGCATGAATATAGGCTCTAGTATAATATGAATAATAAGTGATGTCTTTTATGTTACTTATGTACACGAAGCATTTGGTAATGCAATGATCAAGAAAATCATGCATCTAGATGAAGCAGTTGAGGCCCAATCACTAAGTATACCTACCAACTAAGCCACCTTTTCCACACTCACCCGAGCTCTTAAAAAATGCTGCAATGCTCTCTTTCACACAGTAGAATAAAATTCATGGTAACTTTGCTATGCTCTAAGGCTATTGAGAAAATAGTGTCAAAAGCTTTAAGTATATTAAAAAAAAAGCATGTTGGAAAAAAAAAAATCACAAAACTTCTCCTGTGGTGTAAACTTCTAGTCTAAACAACAGCAAAAATACATCAGAATTTTGAAATTCAAGTATTTGTCCAGTTCTACAGAAAGCCTGGATCCTTCCTGGCTTGCCTTTGCTTTACTCTATCACACCGCTACCACCACCCGTCTGATTGCTCTCCACGCCAGCCAGCCCCTCCAGTCCCAGCTGCTAGGCTCTTCGTACTGACTCATCTCTTGCCCTGATCTCCCAGCTCTGAAAATGCAAAGCCTTGACTTTTATCAATTACTTCTGTAGAAAACCAAGACATACAATAGATGACTAATGCGACCATTTGAACAGCAAGATGAGAACATTCATGTTCTAACACTGCTTTGACCTGTCAGAGTTTCTTTCTGCCTAATCCCGCTGCTCCAGGGTTCTGGATAATTTACTGTTTAGAGGGTCAGACACAAGCCCCTGGTTTCTAACAGAAAACATTCTCTGGTGCCTCCCCTGCTTTCTCCAGGGCACATTGCTTCCCATTTTATAGCTCCAATTGCCTTTCTGAATTTTAAATCCTGTAATATATGGTGTACTACACTTTTTTTTGTCCAGCATTTTGGTACAGATCCACTCATTTAGGGATTTGTTACTCAGTGCTCTGCAATAGCGTCTGCAGTTCTGCCCGTTGTACACTTCCAAAAGTTTCTTTCAATTCTTATTTAAGTTACCTTATGTTTACTGCCATTACACTGCCAGTACTCATACTGATGAAGAACTAAAATCTCTAGGCATGTGCTTCATGCAGTTCTTAACCTTTCAGAAGACAAGTAGGGTGATGTTTGATGGTTAAGACAGAGGGAAGATCGGTTGTGTGTTGATACAATCTTAAGTACAACAAAAGTTTGACACTGTCAAGAAAAGGAAATGATGAATGGCTGCCATTAAATGCTATGGAAGGAAAGAATCATAGAATCATAGAATGCTTTGGGTTGGAAGGGACCTTTAGAGGTCATTTAGCCCAACCCCCCTGCAGTGAGCAGGGACAGCTTTAACCAGATCAGGTTGATCACAGCCCCGTCCAACCTGACCTTGAGTGTTGCCAGGGATGGGGCCTCCACCACCTCTCTGGGCAACCTGTTCCAGTGCCTGACCACCCTCATTGTAAAAAACTTCTTTCTAATGTCTAGTGTAAATCTATTCTTCTTTAGAAGAGAGCAGAGAAAGAAACCCAAACAAAACCAAGAACCCAGAGAACCCAAGGCTATTATGTGAACACATCTCTTCTGAATGTTTTATAAGAGTCACTGTGTCAAAATGAATGGAGTGTTTATTTCCCTAAAAAATTACTGCAAAGAGGATTTTCAGTAAGGAGCTAGGGCACTGTCTCCACTCCCTCTCTGCAGAGTTTGTCCATGGCCAACCAGGCTCTTCTGAATATGCTGCTCAATTACTTCTTCAGCTTTATTCAGTTGGACTCCTTTACAGCACAGCTATGCAATAAGAACAGACCTGCAGATTTGGTACCACACCTACTACTGAGTCACTCTTCAGAATTGAGCTGCTTAATAAATACAGACTAGAGCTGAATGACGGCTTAGTCTCATCTCCCACTCCTGGAGTGCGCTGAACCACCTTATCTCCATATGGCCACAGCTCCAAATTTGTTTGCACTCGGGCTTGCTGCTGGAAGCTTTGCCTCCCAGGAACAGCGGGCCAGCACTCAGCACCAGCATGCTGGCACCACACTGCAGGTACGCGACACTTAGCTAAGAACTGAGTCACAAACATTGCATCTTCCGTTAGGTGTTAAGTCACTCAGGTAAACAGTTTTTACTTTTCCTAACAGATGAATGAAACTGCTAATAAAAGAGAGAGAGCACGCACGTTCCCAAGCCCCATGCTGAGGCTGAGAGCAGCACTAGTGCGGTATGACTTCCATGCCACTGTAATAGATACACTTTAACAGAACTGCAGCCTATATATTTAAGGTCTTGCGATTTTCAAATATTATATATCTATTCAAATAACCTTTCCTTTTTAAAAACTATCAGAAAGGCTTCTCAGCACCATAACATGTGAGCGCTGTCATGAAGTATACCGTTGACCCCAGTATATCACTTGTCATTTGGTTACGCTGTGTAAAGATCCAAACTTGGACACAAATTTACAGTGCTTGTTTTCAGATCTCATGGTCAATCTGTTAGATGTCCACCTGACACAGCAATAAATGTGAGCTGGAAGCTTGTTGATACACACTGCAGAGAACACCACATTCCGAAGAAAACCAAACCCACAGTATCAGATTCTGTCCTCCCTCTTCTCACAGACCACCCCACCTCACGCCACACAAATAATTTAATATACCGTTTGGGGAAGTAGACAGGGTAGAACTTGATCCATTTTGCAGAAAACCTTCCATTTGTCCACTGCAGTATTTTCAAGAAAACACCCCTAGTTGCTCCCATATAAACACCTGTATATGCCATATTCTCAACACTTACCTCAAGGGTAAGTTATGAAATAGTATTTGCATCTGTATATGCCATATCCTCAACACTTATCTCGAGGATAAGTTATGAAATAGTATTTGCACTTGATTCCTTAAAAATTTAAAGTGGAAACAGATAACAAGATCATAACATTCCACTCCAACAGTCACACAATACTGAAACATTTCTGAGTCGCTCTTCACTGCATACCAGCCTAGAATAAACATAAAGAACGAACTAAGGAATAATAGTAATAATCACAGGTTGACTACATCAGTATATTAAAAGTTATCTATGATATGCCTGACTTCCTC